AGACTTGATTTTTCTAAAAAAATTATGAAAGAAAAAGATAGCTTATAAACAGTCAACCATGAACAATCTCTGCAGTGGACTTCTGGAAAATTACTTCTAAAAGTAATTTTAGAAGAAACAGGATGTATGAGCTTGACTATTATTTGCCATGTTATAGAAATATGAAAAACATTAAATCAAATCACCATCCCCTGCCCCCCACAACAAACCCTTGGCACAAAAGAGACGCTAATATTAAAAATTAAGCGCACAGGCAGGAAAATCAAATCAGTTCTGAATATTTTTAGAAAGACATATCAGCTATATTGCTGCCACCCTGGAAGCTCTTTTGAATCATCTAGGTATCATCAGGACAGTGTCAAGCAGCCTCTTGTGCAAGTACCAGCCTTAAATAGCAACTTTGTTCATGAGCTGCACGTACAAAGAGCTTGAAAAGGTTCAAACGGAGCACAGTTGCTGGTAGGCTAAATAAATTATACACTTTCAGAGCTCCTTAACAGAGTGGCTGTAGTCAACAGCAACATCTTGAATATTGCAGGGCAAATTAGAAGGTCGTATATTTCACCATGTGCTCCCTTCATTCCTTCTGAAATGGAAAAAAAAAAAAAAAAGATGCTCAGAAGCAGGTCTCCAGGTGAGGACAAGATAGAGTGACCTGCCCTTTTCTGATTTGCGTAGCTTTAGAAGGCTTTGTCTGGGTTTTAACTCGTAAGTTTTCTGTCACAGTATATAAGATATTGAAAACCACTGGGGCATAAAATGCAGAGAACCTTCTGCCAGCATCCACATTTGGTTTTAGAACTTGACTGCTTTATAACATGATACCATCAGCACAACAAGTCTAGCCTACAGTTTTAATAAAGGCTAATTAGAGTAGGTTGGCAAGCACATTCAAAGAAACATAGTTTTATATGGTAAATAGGTCAAAGCCAAGCAGCCAAAAATACTGTTTGGTAGATGGGAATGCAATCAAATCGTATGAGAATATGTCTGGGAATCTGGTAAACTAACATATTTTCCTACCACCACCCACAATTTCTTTCACAAGGTTACTGTGTGATCACAAGGCTTTCCTTTTAACATCACTGGGAATACTACTTGAAAATATTTCCATGGCACAGACCTCTTTTGCAGACAAAGTGCCTGCAGAATGACACCGATTAGTAACATCTTTCCTGGGAGACGCTTCCTGTGTGCAAAGTTATCATGAAAAATGTTAGTTGTGGGCAAGGTCAAATAATAGGGCTGATTAAAATGGAGCTAAGAATTAAGCAACCAAAACAGACCCAATCTCACAAGGAGGCCAGTGGTTTGTTTGAGCTTCTAAGTAGCTCTAGTAATTTTATTCTTCTAATATGACGGACTGATAAAAACCTGAAATTTTTTTCACAGTTACAAGCTCAGCGCCAACAAGAAGCATCTGGAATCAGGTTTCTGTGTCGTGTAAAACTGGCTCTGTCTGTCTTTTTCTGCTGCTGCGTTTTGTTTGTAGCCTGAGCAAAAGCACTGCTCCTGTCAGCGTTACTCTTTCTTCTATTATTTTACCATAGAGTTTCAGATTTAGTGTTGCTCTGTTCAGTGACCTCCTTTCTCTTCAGGCAGGAGACTTTTAAAACTGTAATTTAATTCATACTCTGGAGTATAATATTAAATGGTTATTATTTTAGAAAGAGAAAGCATGTATTTAAGTTACTTCAACTAAAGACAGATAAACTTTCAGGGGAAGCAAACCTCAACATCTTAGAGCAAACAACACTACTGCCATCAAATCACACTACTGTGCTTTTTTGTATTCGGCTGCTGCACACAGATCCAGTCCCCAAAGCTCAGTTTGCTGCTCACAGTACTGAGTGCTGCTTTCAGCACAAAACTGATGGCTGATTGGCAAATTTAAAAACATTCACACTTTAGTTTCTTTCACCTAGCCTGTCAGTGGAAATTAAGCACATCTCTGATTCCACTGTATAAACATTTTACTTAGGAATATACTGAGATCCATCAGGACTTGAGAAGAAAATCCAGTTCTGTTACATAATGCACTGAAAATCCTTTGCAAGAACGTAGGGAGAATGTTAAAAAAAGCTATTGCACAACACGTGTATATTTTCAAGAAATACTGAAATTACTGAATTATTTTGCATGTTTTTTGAAGGACTGATAAACACCTTTATACTCTAAGGACTTCTGGCAATAGGTTACTCCAAAATGTTCCTTTTCAGGATTTCTCATACCTTCCATTAAAGAAAATCATCCTCTGAAGTACATCAAGATGCCAAAAACAAAAATCCACTTCTTCAAGTCACCAATGAAGTTACTGCACATACAAATGTGAAACAAATGAGTTGTAGCCTGTCTTCATTGTTGTCTCAACCATTTCTTTAACAAAAAGGTAGGAACAGGCCAAACACCATGATTCACAGAACAAACCATTAGTCAAAAACACTATTTCCTCCCTTCATACTTCCATCCCATTTGAATCTTCCACCTTCCTTCTTTACTTTTATCTCTTCTGATCTCTGGAGTAAACCGATTCTGTAGTGTATTGCTAGGTACAGGGTGGAATAAAGAACAGAAGCGAGCCTTGGATTTGAAAGTGAGGTTTCTGGGGTTTGCAGGATTTGTAGACCTACCAGGAGACACTGCACTATGTAATCAAACATACATGTAACATCATCTATGCCTTTAAAAATATCACCACTCCAAATCCTCATTCATGTCCTGCAGCCTACATATGCTGCTTTTCTATATGATACAGAAATAATGTGAATGGGTAATAACAAGGAATTGATTTGCATATAAAAACCTGTTAAATATTTTATAATTCTTTATGGACATCTCTGTTAAACCCACAGGAAGGTAACTTCACTGCCGGATGCACATAGCTGAGTCATTTCTTTATCTCTCTGTCCAGTTGCAGTCACAAAGGAAAATGCAATTGTTCTTATCAGGGTAACATTCTGTCAAGTTTCCTCTGAAGCTAAGAAAAGTATTTTATTGCACACAAGATGTGTTGATAGAGCACCCTCTTGCATTAGAAATACAACATTACAGCACGGTGACCACTAGAAAACAGCAGGATACTCGCTCACTCTCCTTTGAATGCTGATTATAAGTTACCATGCATCCTTTTACTACATCTATTAGGAAGCATAAAAGAAAAATACTTAAGCGGAAAGAAAAGTACATTATCCTATGGAATAGTGGGAAGGAGAAAGGATATATTGGCAAAAAGTGAATGGCTAAAGTCTCCCAGGCATTTCTGCTAGGGTCTCGTGCACTGATTTCATAGAATAGTTGCATCACTCCATGAGTGCTTGAACCTTAGCTCCAACTCAGCCAGGCCAATGCTAGTTATATTTCAGCATAAACAGAAGTGCCTACTTTATATGATTGTAAATACAAAAGCTTTGTAGTTTCAATTGACAGTTCACACTGTTAAATGATTTAAGAACTTTTTCTTTCTAATCAGTTCCAGATATTTGCTGTCCCTCCTTTAAAAGACAAATCACACCATTTCAGATTCATACCTCAGGATAACTGAAAAAGCTTCACAGAGCCACATTAAGTGTTTCTTTGTTTTCTTGATAAAGTATTTTTTATCTTTTTAGGTAATTCATAGTATTTCTTAATACAACAGCAAACAATCTCCTCCAAACCCACACTGGTCTACTCAGTATAAAGCTTTCTTCAGCTTAGAGTGCAGGATGTTGCTTCTTATGCAATCTTTTTATCTCCCTGTTACTGTTCTGGGAACAAGAGGTTGCAGAGCAAGGATGTCCTTTGTTGCCAGTTTCCCCAAGCGACCTCAAAGGGCTTTGTGCAATGTCCAGGCAAGCACTAGGCATAGTTAAGCATAGATTTTTTTTTTATTATTATTATTTTTTAAATACGGGAGGAACAGTTCAAACAAAATGTGGAGCCATTTCCAACTGACTCCTTCCCTTAGCTTTCTCTGAAAACTTACATTGTATATCCCAAGCATCTGTTTTTCAAATTAGCAGATGACTAATTAGTACATTTTTAAAATCCCATATTTTAATCTTTTTATCTATTCTTCAGCTGAAAATTCATCAAATGTGAGATTAATCCTCATTGCCAGTTTCCTGTTCACAAAAGTCATCCCTTCCTTTTTCAATGTTTTCACCACATCGCTTCCAGTTTCTACCACTTCTTGGTGAATGTGCCTACTACTACATCACTCTCTCTTGGAACTAATTCTTACACTTGTTAACAGTGTCACCAACTAAAATCCTCAAAGAGGAAATCTCACTTAGCTTGATCAGTGATAGCTGTTCTGAGAATTTATTCAGACCCTTCTGACCTGTGACTCCTGCTAGGAGAAAAAGGGATAAATGCATTTTTCTTCAGCTGACCTCAGATTTCTATTCTAACAGCTGCACCAAAGCAGTGATGAATATGATTTTAAAAAGAAACAAACACTAGGCCCACAGTAGTGGAAAAAAATGGCGGAAATTGTTTTGATGATGGCATGTACAGTCCATGGGTATTCTCTAGTTCTTCAGAAAAAGAACAGTAAGTGTTATGTTCTGAACACATGTAGATGAAAATCAATTCTAAAAGAAGTAAAGTAAAAGGGGGGAAAAAAAAAAAAAGACCTATCACAATGCAGTCCTGTAAACATGCTGTGCCTCTCCTGAACACCTCTTTGGTTCTTCTTCTGTAAGCAAAAGCCTTGATTCCACAAAAGAATTCCAAGTTCTTCAATGCAAAATTACTTCATGCACAAATGTTTCCTGGGTATTGATTCAATCATACAGTTAAAATGGGATATGAAAGACCTTGTTGGATCAATGTCTAGGAAGTACAGATACTCAACAGCTTAGTGTCAAGTCCTCAATCCTTAGAAAATTCAGTCCCACACTTTGCAATTTCATTAAATTTTAATATATGAAAATAGTATTGTTTATTTGTCAAAGTTTGCAAAAAATAAACTGCATTCATTTTAAGTTCTCTTTACAAATGAAGCAACAAAAGACAATTATAATTTATATAATTTTTTAAGACAATGAGAAAGGGATTAGCATTCTTAAATTAATTTTAATTTGGTGGTTTTTAAATACGTGGCAATAAAGTTTTATTTTCTTCCTAGTTTTTCTTTCACAGCAGGGATAAATAAAACTTTTTCATATATTACAGCAGGCTTGTCCTTCACAACAGGTTCCACTCTCCAATTCACAGAAAAGTGAATCTTATATCCAGCAATTCAAAACTAAGCAAAACGTAACTGAAGTCCATTCAGCACATTCAGTTCCCAAAGCAGAGTGACATAAATTATTAACTTCCACAGACACACAGAATGCTGTAAGCTATTCTAAGGCAAAAGACATTTAATGCACAGAAGTCATGGCCATGGCTTCAGCTATGTAAAAGACTTCTACTTCTATAAAACAAAGATAGCTATTTCATACTTTCCCAAGACTTTTCTTAATGAAATATCCCACTAACTTCTGTGGTCTCTGCTGATACTCCACAAGTACATCATGTGAGCTACTAATCTGATCCCCTTCAAGCCGATTCAGAAGAGTGACACACACTACAGCAGCTAGAAATGAAAAAACAGCATTAGTTAGGAATTACATTCTGGCACTACTGCACTCCAAAAGCATAAACATTTGAACAAACAGCTAGAAGATTAGAAATATGAGAGAAAACAAACCCAAAAAACCAGTGCACAGTACCATAAGATGCTAGGGAACTAGCATGATGTGGATGATATAAAAAAAGTTATAAATAGTTTAAGATAACTGGTCACTACATCAGTAAAGCAAGAGGTCTCGGGCAGCTGCAGATAGTTATTGTTATGTCATGATTCTTACGTTTTTCTGGATAAGGAATTATATTTCACAAGTACCCAGGACTTGACTGGTAGGGAGTGATCAGAGACACTGTTCTAGCAGATGTAGTTGCAGCCCTCTGCTGTCTACCTCACCCCCAACTCAAATCCCTGTGCTGCAGGTGCCATCCCTCAGGAACCAGCAGATGAGCTGCTTTGGCAGTATGGATAGGGAGCACTGCAAGTACACGAGAATCTCATGGATCATCTCTGGCTCATCTGCTGCCTTTTGCTAATCAGAGCCTCAAAGGCAAAATCCCTCCTTTCACTCAAGCTGAGCTCTTATCTGGGGTTTCTGCTAGTGACAGTTTGCAGAGCTTGTATTTACAAGCAGTAATATACATTACAGACCTACAAAGCAGATACAGCAAAAAGGACCAGGCTCCTTAATGGCTCAGTGACAGCCATACCGACTTCTTACTCTCAAGTCAGTAAGAATGGAGGATGTTTGATATAACTGCTGGCCTTTTTGCTTATTTTTCTTCATTTCATCCTCCTTGAGTTTAAGCAAGTTTGAGAAACATCAGTGGTTTAAATTGGCAAATCCTTTGCCAAGGAAAGTGAGAGACTACAGTTAACATGGTAAGCAGAAAGGCACTGTATTGCATCATTTGTAATCAGGCTTTTTTTTTTTTCCTCTAATCTTTACTGAAAAATAGTTAGCTTGTGTAAAAAAAATAAAAACTCACTTTATGATTAGGAACAGTTTATTCATTATGCTACTAAAAATCTTCAACTGTTTAAGTATTAAATCTACAAGCCTACACAAAATACTCATATTTTCAATTTGATATGAAAGTGTAGAAAGTTATTATAGTTTTATGTATGTGGGAGTTACTTGGCTGCTTAAAATTAACCAGTAGTTTCCTGTAAGCTTCAAAAACTAACTGAAGAAAACAAATTAATGCTGTAGTGTAATTAGGTACTTTAATTATTTATGTGCTTGCCATGGGCTAGAATAGCAAATGACAGAAATAAACTGTGTGAAAACTATGTGAGGAAGTTTGCATAAATTGTGAATACATATGACACAAATCAAACAATTATAGCAACAAAACTATAACCAGTCTTCATTCACAGTTTGTATCACAAACCCCCTGCAATGCAGAAAATTTCCTATAGCTTGAATAAAGTGACTATAAGTTGGTTTACCTTTGACACCGCTAAGATTACACATTGCAGCAAATACAGAAGACTCCATCTCTATGTTTCTGACGCCAGAATCATAAGCTTCCTTCAAATATTGCAATTTCTCTTCTTCATTATATAAGCAGATTGCGCCATCCAACCTGCCCTGTCCTACAAAGTAATTTTGTAGAAGTTTTCAGAGTGATGAAGTCACAGAACAAATTCAGTTTCTAAAACACCCAATTACTGCAGTTTCCACTATACAGTGTCCAGCTTTTACTACTACCCTTTATTTTCACGCACAAGACAAATAGGACAAAGTGATTCTTAGCTATTGCTAGAGCTTCTACATATTACCTGCAATTTTTATAATGTGAACCATGGTAATTTAATTGGTCTTCCCCAATGGTCTTTAAATTGGTTTTCCCCAATTTAAGCTGGTCTTCCCCAGCTTAAATTCTCAAATCCATAAATGGGAAAATGTAAGTAGTAGTTTCCTGCATGTGTGGCATGCATCAAAATTCAGCAACAAACCTTAAGCTGAATGGAAGTGCTGCATTTTTGCCATTGTCTAGAAAAACTGCCAGGCTCAAAAATGCTTTCCTGATGCTACCTTAAAGGGATGAACATTTTATTACTTAGAGACTCTCTAAGGTAAGAGATGAAGAATCTCTTAAGCTATCTACCACTATTATAATTCTTTGAGAAAATTAGTTTATTCAAATTACTCAAGAATAACACTTATAGATAAAACAGCACCAGGTTATGTACAGTGAAGTTAAATTACACAGTGTTTTACTCAGTATGTTTTTGTTGTCAGGAGCCATATTCCTAAATTAAGGCCCTTGAGCCTGTTCTCAGTTTTTGCCGCATAAGTGCATTCCTCACACATTTTTTTAGTGTAGCTTGCACCTGTGATTGGTGTCTGAGGAGATACACAAACTGACAGTGTCTGCTTCTGATCAAGCTTGAGGACTATTACGAAGCCCATGTGTTCCCCTCTGCAACGCACCCTTCATCACCTATTCAGTAACAGCTAGAGAAAGTACTATCAGGTGCCATCTACACTCTGTTCTCGCAAGATTTGAAAGATGTTTGTCAATAGACTTGGGAGATCAGAAAAGCACCCAAATGTCTACATGTTTATCCAAAGTAAGCCTTGGAAGTTTGCCCCTGCAACGGAGCAGCATTGACACAACTCAGCAAAATACTGTCTTCAGTTGTCTGATCACTGATTTGCTCAAAATGCACACAGGAAACAAGTTCCAACACTTCTTTTATAAAATATTTACTTTAGATACTTAACCAGTGCAAAAAAAACCAAAACAGCCACAAGTAGTTCTCACTCCTCTAATCCTCCAGGATGCCTCAGTAAATCACAGAAATTTTGTGACAAACATACCTAACCGACGAGTATGTGAAAAGCATACAGTAGACTCTATGTATTTCAGAGGATCTATTAGATCTGGGGGAAATAAACCTCCACAATATTAAAAGTTCCATACAGCAAACTGCTAAGCACAATGCTTCATTTTATGTATATGAATAACAGGTTAATTGCAGTTGACAAGACAACTCAAAGTAGGGAATGTGTTCTGTTCAGTGAACTGGAACCTTAATGTTAAAATATTATTCAACATTTGTCTATTGCTGCTTACCAATATACTTCTGTTAGTCTGTCGCCAGCCTTACCTTCATAGAAATCCAAAGTGCACATAGTGTTTCCAATGACTGTATTGAACTGACCGATTTCTTTACTGCACTGCATCAGTTCCTTAGCCAGCTGTTCGTCTAGGTTTGTGCTGCGAATTACAGTCTTTCCCAGAATTACTTGTTCAAACTGAGGTTTGAAGGTGGCATCTACAGACTGCCTAGTTATAACCACTGAACCTGGCTCCAGACCTGCAGTAAAAAGAAACAGATATAGTTTGTTAGATGTAGATATAGATATAGATGCAGTTAATGCTTTGTTTCCACACACATAAAACATACATCTTGACCCAATCCTGCTTCTTTTAAAAGTGGACATTTTTCCCCTGAATTCATCAACAGAATTTTTTGTGCATATCTAGCTGCTTCAGTTTATTATTACAAACAATTTATGAAAGATTTTTTTTTCCTTTTTCACTATACATTCTTTTTTATCTGATAATTTTCACACAGGACAGGAATGTTGTTCTCCTCATGTTGTCAGATCTCTTAAGTGCATTTTCTCTATCCAGAGGCAGCTATTGCCTTTTCTTTCAAAATTACGGAAGCAAAATGATTCATCTCCTATGGAAAACTGTTCTGACTATCAACCACTTACTTGCAGAGAGATGCTTTTTTCTCCTATAAAAATGCTTTGCTTTGAATAAAAAGAAGAAGTCAAGAGGGGAAATACCTATTCCACCAGAGGTGCCAATGCGAATAATGGTTATGTTGGAACACTTGGCATGATACAATAGTTTGATCAGCTCGTGCAACATGATTGAAATAGAAGGAATGCCCATACCATGCTGAAACGAAAGCAGAAATTAATATTCAACATTCACATAGACAATGCAAAATATATACAGAAGAAGCAGCTGGACAATATTTCCTTCCTGATATTTTTTTCAAATGTCACCTAACTCACTCCCACAAAAACTCTGACCTATGGGCCTACTGAACAACTATTGCAGGTAAACAGAAAGACTCCCTCTGGCTTTGGTAGACTATGGGTGAAGTACAATATTTCTAAAAATTATGAATTACAAAATATTTACATTCTGAAAAGTATAAGCAGTATTCTTTCCTAACAGTTGACAAATGCACTTCATCACAGAACTTTCTTAAACATAAGAAAAACCTCACTCTGGTGTTTTACCAACCTGATGTGCTAGTGAATAATTCAGCTAATTTTTTTTCAAAACACAGACATTGTGGTTTAGTCACAAAGTTCAGCAAATATAAGTGCACCTTAACTTGCATGATAATGCAATAATTACAACTCAAAAGAATGGGTGCAGAATGATACTACAGTTATGCAACTGAAATTGAAGTATATAAGTGTATCTACAAATTGAAGGTATGAATTTTTAAAATGCATACATAAGTTGTCAGCACAAGTCCCATGGAAAGCTACTTTTCGGCTATGTTAGCCCATTTGCCAATGCCACTGCAGACACTTGGCCCTGGATGTGACACAGTCATTTTTTCCAGCACCCCACATGCATCAAGTAACCTTTTTCCCCCATTATTAAAGATATAGAACAGGGATGAGGCAACAGTAAGTCCGATCAAAAAATTTATAAGGCCATTCCTGCAACACTTCAGTGGTACAATGAGAAAAAAGCAGGCAAGAAAGGAATGAAGGTGTCAGAGATTTGCCCTCTTACAAGAAAGGGCTAAAAAGGAATTCTTAATTAGCTGACTGTGCTATTTTGGTCATGGTTGATATAAACTTAAAAACCTGACTCTGTGCATTAAGTGTTTAAAAGAAACGTGCATTCATATTTTCTGCTTTGAACAGCATCATAGAACTGCGTCCCATAGCTGATGAAGCGAGGTACTTACACTGACTGACAAAACAGGTCCCACTTTGTACATTGCGTAACGGTCAGTTCCTGCACAGATGTTGGGATAGTCACAACCAGGGCTCCCGAGCCCCAGTTCTTCAGCTATGTAGGCGATAAAAGCTTTCATCCGTGAAGGACTTCCTCCAACACATACAAACTGGGGTGGACAGCATTCAACAAAACCAAATCAACTGCATGATTCAGTATATCAAAGAACATGCAAAGATCAACATGAGGACACAAACACCTTCAGTTAACACAAAGCTATTGCCAGATGTGGTTCTTCTCATAATCATTCCAAAAGGCCATGGAGAAAAATTATGGGAAAAAACCTCCCCTTCTATATAGCACTCAAATGCCTTCATCCTGCTTAAACTAGTAAAAGCAGATACTGCTGAACAGAGACTGCAGCATTTGCTTTTTACTGGATGAAAAGAGACAGTCAGAAATAATTATCCCCAATTTTGCTTGATATTGAAAACAGTAAGAACCCATAAAATCTTATCCTCTTTCCATTCATTCCTCAATTGTGGTATGCTGACACATTTAGTCTTGTTTTGAAGATGGCTACAATTCCACCTTCTGCAAAAAAGCTTAGGCTTGCTGAATGAAATGAAGCATCTTACCTTTACATCTCCAAACAATGCCGGAAAATCATGGGTACCAGTCCCAAGAGCAAAATGGTACAGGATGTCTTCTTTCATTTTCTCCAGGTGAGGGTTACAGAGATGGATAAAATTCTCTCTGCCAGGACAGCAGCATTGTGAAACATATAGAGTATATACAAATCCCTACACTGAACAGGTGCTAATTTTGCAAAGTCAAGCAGTAAAAGTTGAGAAACGCCACACCTAAGTGTGCCTGCGCTACCTCATTTTGGTTCCTCGTGCATTATGTTAAAGAAATCCTAAATCTCCTGGCCACCTTATGTCTCATAATAAATCACATGCAATATAAAATTGCTTAAGAAAAGCCCAGATGACAGGATGCATTTATAACAGTGCAACCTTTATCTTAAACACTATTAAAGCTGTGAACCAGAGTGGGTCTTTATGGTAAGCAGAACAATGGGAGCAGGACCAGGAAATATTCCTTAGACCACTTTACTACATAGACCACCCACAGCAAACTTGAAAAGCAAACTTGACCTCTGTGTTTTGACTGACCCTCCTAGCCACCTGAGAGGGGTGGGAAGATTTGGGCTTTACAGACAGGACAGAAGGAGATTTCTGGCAATTTGGCTCGCTGTAACTCTGTGTCATCCAGCCAGCAGAAAACACTCTAAGACATGAGACTGGTAACAAGAACACAGAGGATCTGAAATAGAAGAGAAAACAGGCAAATGGAAAACTGAAGCAAAGAGAAAACCATGGAAGAGGGGGAAAAAAAAAAAAAAAAAAAAAGGGCAAGAAAAAGGGAAAGGGAAGGGGAAAAAAGATTAAGTTGCTTCCTTTAAGGAAGAGATACAGCTTAAAATATATATATATACTTCTGAAGAACCAGGAAATCACAAGGCAAGGAGGGAAAATTGAATTGCTTATCATATGGGACTTCCTTCATGGAAAATTTGGTAGTGGACTAACTAAGCATGCTGAATGATTCATAAAACGTCTGCCTTCTGTGCTTGATGTTTAAAGTTCAGTTGAAATAGGTAGGAAAGACTAGTCAATAATCACAAGCTTAAGCAAAATACTGGCCAATACTTCAAAGCAGTTTCTAAGAGATGAAATAAATGTCTTCCAGACACAAGAAGATGACTTAATAGCTTAATGAAGGCTCACTGCAGGCACAGCGTGGCTCAGCAAATTCAAACTGCTTTGTCAGAGGAGAGAAACAAAAGAGTTTGCCTGGAGTTTATGCAGAAAATTGTTCAGACTTTGCAGGAACAACTCTGAAGCCTAAACACAGGCGTTCAGCACTATTTCAGATGTTTTAGGTTATCTAGCCTGTCTTCTAATGTCTCTCCAAAAAGGCAGTGCTTTTCTGTAGGTCCTATGTGTTATCTGTCAATCCTGTGCAGGATGTATTGGTTACCTGAAGAAGCCTAAAGTGGCCTAGATACCCATACTGAGGTCACTGAACTGTTCCTCAGAAAGCAAAGAAAATAGTTACAACCCCACTATTCTGAGTATAACAATTGTGTCTGTTCTTGAAGTTCTCTCTAAGTAGTCACAAACTATCCAGCAGCAGCTGCAAAACCAAAGAAAGAGGTATCATCCCAGTCCACCCTATTTGTCCCTGCCCAGCATGGACCACCACCTTCAGCGACTGAATAAGCAGCCCAACAAAGCAGGTGGTTCGTTCACCCCTTCAGTAGTAATTCCTTTCTATCTCCCACTTGCCCCATTTGCCTCTCTTCATACAAATCCCACCTGAGGTAAAACCAAATGCTTTGGTTGCTTTTGTTTTTCCCTTCAGGAGACATGTTTGATTCCGGGAGAAGTAAAGAGCAGGTTTATTGGCTCTTCAGAAAGGCGCAGAGAGCCCAGGAGTCTGCCAGCTCATGTGAGCAGAATTCCCAGGCTGCCCCCTCTGAATTATTCCTGTTTGGTTTTGTGGGACTCTCTACCCACGTTTAATGGGTCACTCACAAAAGCAAATCAAATAGCTGGCTGTGCTGATGTTTATTGGAATGGCTTTTACATACAAATAGGATACAATTTGAAAACATTTTGCAAGTTGTTCTCAAGCAAGGAAAAAATATTTCCTCCTTTGTGAGAATGCCAACAATAAAAGCTTCTCTCCAGGAAATAAAATGGGAAAAGGCGAGGCCTCTACTAAAAGTACAGGGAAATTAACGCGGTGTGTGCCAACACTACTGTCCTCGTGCCTGGCTTAAATACAGCTTCTTCCCTCAGCAGCGACTATATTTCACTTTTTTCATCTCATATCCTACCAGCAACACTCTTCAACCCACCACCTCACTGCAGCTAGGGGCTGTTACTAGCTTGTACTGGTTATCTGCCCATCCAGATCTAATTGCAGACTTGGACCCTGGGGTAAAATGGGCAATAAAAGTAAGCATGTTACTATGTGTACATAGGACCAATGCCATGGATTTACAGTAGAGACAAAGTTTGCCTGATAAAAATCTTTGGCCTGTAACTCTAAGGAGCAGACAATCTATTCCCCTCACACTATTGTAAAGGATCTACAGCTTCTGGGGGTTTAAACAAAACATTAATATCTCAGAACTAAACATGCATGTATGGTTTTACTAAAATAAGCTTAAAGCAAGGGTTAGAGAAATAGATTGAAATATTTGTTCAAAGTCTTGAAGCAGGTAGGTGCAGCCATATACAGCAACATTTCAACAGCTCACTGGATTAAATAAATAAATAAATAGATAGATAGATATAAATAAATAGATAAACAAATAAATAAATCAGCTATGCTTGGAAAAATTCACTGTCATGACAAATGAAAATAGATAGCCAGCAAAGCCCTCAGTGTAGGTCTGGTTAAAGCAGATAAAGACTTCATTTGTCAAAACAGCTTCTACTAGATACTTGATGTTATAATCAATATTTGTATCATAAATGTTATCTTAAACTAAATAAATGTGTAATGAGTTTGGAGAGGAAGGTAAGTGTAAACTTTGACAAGATAATTAATTTCTGAATCTTACTTTGTAGACTGTTCATCATCAGTTTTCTTCTCATTTGAAACACCAGGAGCCATGTACTCTTATACCTAGAATTATATTAAAAAAAAAGAAAAACAGAAGTGCATCAGAATAGTCCCATCTGTAAAGTTAGCAGCAGTAACAGCGATAGAAACTTTCTGTATAGATGATACTGTCATGAATATCAAACCCCCAAAATAATCCATCACACTGCAGCTTTTATAACTGCAGCAAAATGAGCATCTCCAGCTTTTTATGGCCGCACATCACCACTTTCAAACCACTGAAGCCTAAACTTATCCCTTGCTAACATAACCCCCATCTCACCACTAATTCTGTTCTGTGGTGTATATAATACCTGGCTCACGGACCAGAGAGGTAGGTCTCATAGTTAACTAGCTAATCCTCTTTCTTCTACACCTCCCACAGTGACAGTGACTGCTGAACTAGCTTTAGCCCCTATTTCACCTCTGGCTCTAGAATGAGCTCCAAAGCTCATTTCTAACCGTCATATGCCTGAAACATGAGTCCAGGAAGCATCTTACTCATCATATCCTCTTCATTAAACTCCTCCAACTGACCTTAAGAGCATTTTATATGCCTCAGCCTAAGGCCGAGGAAGACTAAACCAAACATGACTCCAAAAAGTCACAGCTCTCTAGTTTATCATCCATCTTGAATATCTTTTTTCCTAATCCACTACCCTATACCAAAAAAACTTCTGCTTTCTGCATTCTCCTTTATATTTAAAGAGGCAAATGTATCACTGAGTCTTCGGTGCTGATACAATGACAGAATTCTAACTAGAGAATGATTCACTTGTTATTTTCAGAAGTTACTAAGGCTACCTGATGAAGTTGGTACATTCTGGGAATGCCCTCAGAGGAAGTACTGAATCACAGATTTTTGCTCTAGCCTCCCTATGTGCCTGACAACACGTAGATTATAACACAGACAGGATTGTAATCCTTAAAAAGCCCAGGATTGCACTACAAGAAAAGAAAGAAATCAGTCTTGCAGTACAATTACATAACACGTGAATTTTGAAAGAACTGAAGAACCAAACAAAATACACCTGAAGTCTGCCTGTTAAAAGCCACTGAATAATGGAAATGTATTAAAACTTACAAGGACAATTAGTTTTCTTCATTTAAAATATTAACATTTATTAAATAGACATAAACTTCACATGTACTAGATGTACTAAACGTGCTATATTTTATGCTCAAGGAGGTAAATTGTAAAAGTCACATTTAGAATCAATTATGCATCCTTATGGTCATATGATTAGTCAGTTACTATAGGGTATCGCTACTATACCATGCACATTATGGGAAAAATGCACATTTTTTTTCCAATAAAACTAGAGCGCCATGAGTCCTAAACAAGGAATAAGAAGATAAGAAGAAACAACAAAGTGATCTTTATGTACCTAATTGATCAATAGCTGCAAATAAACCAAAGATAATAATTCAGATGCTGTTCACAACATTAAGCAAATGTGATTTTTAACAGTGTTCTTGGTTCTGTGATCCCCTAAGTAATGATATATTTAAAAAAACCAAGAACAAAGTTCTACCAGTCCAAAGGTCCGGAATACCCTTTCCAACAGCACCCAACCGGAGATGCCTTGGCAGGAACAGAAGAAAGGAACAAGCAGAAAGCAGTTTTCCCGTGGCAGACCCTTCCAGCAACCAGGTAGTAGCTGATAGGCGGCCAATTAATATAAAGTCACAAAATTCTCACACTGTCTAAACATATGGAAATTTTTATAGGCATGTCAAAAGTTCTAGCAGCCTTTCTCAGCCAGAGGTAAAACTGATGTTCAAGACTACTGTGCTCACAGCAGGACTCAGCTGAAGAGCACGGCGGGTTTTAACCATGCGCGCAAACCCTCGGACCAAAGTTTTAAAACCAACCTATTGGCGCTGCTATCGCTCAAAAAAGCTATCTCTCTTTTTTTTTTTTTTTTTTTTTAAGGAAAACCTCAGTTAAGAGTATCTTTACGGAAACGCTCTAGTTTGGTGTCGATCTGTCATCAGAAAACCTTAAGTCGTGCCAAAACTGATATTAATACTGCGGTTTCCTCCGTGAGACCGCACGAACAATGCCGGCTCAGGCACGGCGAGCATCACCGCCAGCCGGCGGCC